TATATATATATATACATATATATGTATATATATTATACATATGTATGTATATATATGTGTGTATGAATAATAGCAAGATCGTTAAATGATTTACCGTTTCAATAATATAGAATACATGAAAATGACTAGGTTCGATTCTGAGAAGCAGCTCTTTAATGCTTCATCACCGAGCAAAAGTTTAATATACATACATGCATGCATCGATAGCATTGAAATATTGCACGTATATTAAGCTCAAGTTCGTCAAATGTAAGCATCAGCCAAAAGACTAACACTTGGTAAGTTTGGTCGTGTCTTTTCTTGTCTCTGTGTAAGAAGGGGAAAAGCCTCCTTGTCTATCAAAGTCTTTTGCTAAACACTCTGCTGTTGCTTATCATCAATCTACAAAGCATGAGTTCTCCTATATTCCTTTATGTCTATAACGAATAAAATTGGTATTGGACTAGATTGTTCCATCCATGAAAATCGTACAGCTTATACTTGTCATCGTCGCCACTATTCTATTACAAGCTATATATGCATAAAACTGACTGACATGATTGATCAGCACCAGTGAATGTGTACAAGAAAACATTGATCGCTTGTTACCGATTATTCTTATATAGTTGTTATAGTATCGAAAGATTCTTAATGCATTCCAATGCGAAGAACTAAAGTTCGCCAGATTGTATAATCTCTACGAATCGGCGACTTATACTTCGCGATCTACTGTCTCCGTGGATTATCGGCATCCTTTGATCCTTCGCCAGTGTCATCCGCATCCTTCGGATAATCTTTAGAATTTCTGTCTTTGAAATCGCGAGAATGGTAATAATGATTACTCTCCCTTCGCGAAGCTTGACCTCTGTATTTGCGGTTATTGCCGTCACGACCATAATTGCGATATTCGCGCGATCGGTACGATGGTGACTCGAAACAACTATTAGCCGCTTCCGCTGATCTTACGTTGCCGTTCTGGAGTTGGGGTAAAACGGTCGAATCGGCCGCATCCGCCTGATGATCTTGCTTTTCGTGCCGATTTGTGTTATATCTGTAATAAAATTTTATTATGGATGATTTTATCTTTTAATGTTTCATAATCCATTGCATCAAAGATATTTTAAAAACAACTCCCACATGAAATAAATTCCGAGTTTATACGGGAATAAAATTCTGTAAACTTGGCTATACCTCGATGATCTGCGATGCCAGTAGCTCGGTATCGGTAACGGTGGAAATTTACGAGAGCTCTGTTCCTGCATCGTTGTACTCGTAGGCGAAGTACGGCTATGATGGCTATTGTTACCATCGCGAGAGCGTCCACCTCTGCTGGAACCGGGATTATTTGCCGAGGAAGCCGCTCTCAGCGAAGCTATTTCCTTCTTCTGATCCATGTTTTCCTTGTGTAATCGCTTTACCATCGCATACGATTCTTCCAAAAGGACAACCAGGCTTGCTTGTACAGGATCTCCGACTTGAACTCCTACATCTGTCATCTCGATTTTATCCTTTTGATCTTTGATTATGTCCAACCTTCTGCGAAAGAAAAAAATGTTAGCTTATTGTTAGCATATAATATCTTTCAAGCACAAAGCAAACTGACTTTTTCTGCTGCTCTATAATACTTGATAAATATTGGTTATGTGTTTTGGCCTCTTGTAATGACGCCTTGATGTCTTGTAAGTCTTTCTCCAAAAGCTCCACTTGCAGAGGTGTTACATTGACACACATTGGGCTATTCTGTAAATGCAATTTAAACCTTTAAATCTCAATTTTATAAAAAAACATTCCTTCAAAAAAGAAAGATTAGAGAAAAGCATATTATCAAAGTCTCAGAATAGTGTTGTTATAGATACCTTTGATTTCGCAAACCCATTTCCATTATCTTCAGGAGAAGAAGGACTGCTAGCCACATTGCAATGTGCTCTTTTGGAGAATACCAATTGAAATTGTAAATCTGCAAAAGAATTTATAAAAAGGTTAGAAGCAACATATCTGAGAAGAACAAGAATTATTTATATTACCTCTATTTCTTTGGCGCAAAGATTCTATCTCCTGATGTAAAGCGACCAAAGTTGCCTGATGTTGTTCTTGTAAAAATTTCATGTTCTGTTCAAGTTGTACCACTCTGTCTATGTTCAAGCTTTGATGCCTAACATGTGCGAATCCATCATTCCTTTCACTCAAAGAAACCAGATCAGGTGGCGCTTTCTTT